TAATTCTTCTTTGAATTTCTGGTAGAATTCTGCAGTGAATCCATCAGGGCCTGGGCTCTTCTTTATTGGTAAGGATTTAATTAGATTTTCAACTGCATTAATAGAAATTGGGTTACTCAGCAGTTTTACATCTTGACCCAGCTTTGGTAGTTTATATATTTCTAGGAATTTGTCCATTTCTTCTGTGCTATTGAACCTATGAGAGTAGAGGTTTTGAAATAGGTGTTGAGAATCCTCTGTATTTCCACAGAGTATGTAGTGATTTCACCTTTTTCATTAATTATTGCATGAATTTGAGTTTCTTTCCTTTTTAAAATAAGGTTGGCTAGGGGCTTATCAATTTTATTTATTCCTTCAGAACCAATTCTTTGATTCATTGATTCTTTGTTTTCTTAGTCTCTATTGCATTAATTTCTGCTCTCATTTTTATAATTTCCTCCTTTCTTTTGGCTTTGGGCTTGACTATCTCTTCTTTTTCTATATATTTTAAGTGTAGAAACAGATTATTTATTTGTATTCGTTCAGTTTTCCTGATGTGGGAACTCAGTGCAATAAATTTTCCTCGGAGGACCACTTTATTGCATCCCACAGATTCCAGTAAGTTGTATTTGTATTTCCATTTGCTTGTACATATTAATTTCTTCTTTGATTTCCTCTGTGATCCACTGATTGTTCAGGAGTGTATTATTCAATTTCCATGTATTTGTTGGGTTTTTGCAGTTTTTTATCATTAATTTCTAGTTTCATGGTGGATCCCATGTTCTGATAACATGCATAGGATAATTTCAGTTCTTTTGTATTTACTTACTTATGTTCTGTGGGCTAATATATGGTCTATTTTAGAGAATGTCCTATTTACTGTTGAGAAGAATGTATATTCTGATGTTGTTGCGTGGAACACTCTGTATATGTCTATCAATTCCATTTTCTCACAGGTGTGATTCAATTCTTTTCTTTTTTAATTTTCTGTCTGGCTGATCTGTCACTTTGTGTCAATGACATGTTAAGGTCTCCAGTTATAATTGTGTTATTGCTTATTTGATTTTTCATTTCTGGCAATACTTATTTTATATAGCTGGGTGCTCCCAAATTTTGTGCATATATATTTAAGATTGTTACCTCTTCCTCTTGAAGTTTTCTCCTAACTAGTATATTGTGACCTTTTTTTTTTTTATCTCTTCAGATCATTCTTGGTTGGAAGTTCACATTGTCTGCCAACAACATAGCTACCCCTGCTTTTTTTTTTGAGTTCCTATTGCATGAAGTATTGTTTTCCATCCTTGGACTTTCAGTCTATGAGTTTCCCTTTGGGTCAGATGGGTTGACTGTAGACAGCATATGGTTGGATGTCATTCCTTAATCCATTCTACCAGTCTGTTTCTTTTAATTGGTGAATTGAGGCTATTTACATTAATGGTTATAACTGATACATACTGGTTTATTTTTTACATGTTATCTTTCTGCTGTTGCTTCTTTACCTTTTCACTCTGTTTCATTGTCTGCCTTGCTTAGTGGTTGTTTCCTATGTGTATCTAGAATGCCTTTCAGTATTCTTTGCAGGGTTGGCTTAGTGATCATGGAATTATTTAGCTCTCCTTTGCCATGGAAGTATCTTATTTCTCCATCCATTTTGAAGGACAATTTTGAAGGTACATCTGTCTGGGTTGGAAGGCATTTTCCTTTGGGATCTGAAATACTTCATTCCATGCTCTTCTTGACTTCATTGTTTGTGTTGAGAAGTCTGCTGTGATTCTGATAGGTTTTCATTTATAGGTGATCTGTTTCTTTTCTCTAACAGCTTTTAATATTCTGTTCTTATGTTGGATTTCTGTGATGTTGATTGTTATATGTCTGGGTATAGTTTTATTTTGGTTATGGCTATTTGGAGTTCTATATGCTTCACTGATCCATAAGTCAGTTTCCATTCTCATGTTTGGGAAATTTTCAGCTATTATTTCTGTAGATAGCCTCTTGATATCATTTGTGTTGCCCCCTTCTTTTTCATGTATCCTTATTAATCTTATGTTGTTTTTCTTTGCATCATCTTGCAGCTGTTGAATAGTTATTGCCTGATTCCTTGCTATTTTTAAAAGATCTTTCCTTTCCTGTTCACTAGCTGCAATCTTGTTGTTGAGGTCTGAAATTCTATCTTCACTTTCACTGAGTTGGTTTTGCCAGCTTTCAATGGAATTTTTGATTTCCTGTATATCTGTTTGAATCTGCTTCATGCATTCTGTTTGTTTCTTATTTTGTTCATTCAGGGCTTTCATCTTTTTGCATTGTTCCTCTAATTTTTTAACTATGTAGTCTTTAGACATCTAAAGCATTTCTTTCATTACATTTATCATTTCTTCTTTACCCTGGGGGAGACTATTTCTGATTTGAGTTCTTTTATAGCTTCCTGGAGTTATTGCTTTATTTCAGTTGTTATCATTTCAGCATTTCAAGTGTATGGCTTATATTTTCTTCTATGTACATGGCTCTTAGGCTTGCTTGGGATGGCCTGGAGGTTTGAGATTGCACTTTGGTCTTTTGTTTTGTCATTTTCCTGTATTTCCAGGTTTCAAGTGATGTTCCAAAGCTTCCCATGGACATGCTGGAAATCACCTTGCATACCCTCAGCTCCCCAGGACTCATTGGAGATTGCTGGGCATGGCCTCGTCAGGCCCACAGAGACCTCCTCTGCATCCTCTGGTGGTCTAGGATGCTGGGTAGGATCGTAACTACTGTTACAATCTCTCTCAGAAGGAGCACAAATGCACAGGAAATCACCTTGCACGCCCTCAGTTCCCAGGGCTCAGGGGAGGTGGCTAGGTGTGCCCCGTCAGGCCCCGTTGTCTATTTTTGATTGATCTTTTTATTTTAGCAGTTATAATTCTTTTAGAGTTCTTTATATATTCTGTCCATGAAATAGTTAGCAAATATTATGCTTTCTCTTCACTCTTCTGGTTGTTTCCTTTGCTGTGCAGAAGTTTTGAATTTCATCTGATTCTATTTATTGATTCTTGTTATTATTTCTTTTACCATTGGGATTCTATTCAGAAACTCTTGTCTATACCCATACCTTCAAGAGTTACCTATTTTATCTACCAGCAGATTGTTTTTATTTCAACATTTACATCTTTGGTCTGTTTAAATTTTTATGTAGTACATGGTAAGAAAATTTGAGTCTTGACTCAATTTCCTGCATGTACTTATCCATTTTTTTCCACATCATCTATTAATGAGGCTCTCTTTCCTCCCGTGTATTATTTTGGTCCCTTTATCAAATATTAAATAGTTATATGTGCCTGATATTTCTTCCTCTTTTTAATTTCTGTTCCAGTTGATCCATGTGCTTATTTTGAGGCCAGTACCATGCTGTTTTAGTCACTGTTTTCTTGCAGAATAACTTTAAATCTGAGATTGTGGTGCCACTTGTTTTGCTTTTGTTACCCCGGATTACTCTTGCTCTTCTATATCTCCTTCGATTGTATGTAAATTTTAAGATTGTTTTCTCTAGCTTTTTCAGAAATAACATTGGTATTTTGATTGAATTTATGTTAACTCTGTATATCAGTTTTCATAGTGTGAACATTTTGACTATGTTGTTTTTGCCTATCCAGGAACAGGGGACATTTTTCTACTTTCTGATATCTTCCTTGATCTCCTTTATATGTCCGATATAATTTTCACAGTAGAGGTCTTTCATTTCCTTAGTTATGATAATATCTCAGTATTTAATTTTTTATGTTATTGTGAATAGTATTTTTTCTGATTGCTTTTTCCATGAGTTCTTCTCTTGGGTGTTGGTCTCTGTTGTTCAGTCAAGTCATTATGTTGGTTGTCACCTCTGTTGCCCCATGCTGTAGCAAACCCAGGGACTGGAGGGGAGTCCACAGTCCCCAGGTCCTCCTGGCAGCAGTGTAGGGCCCTGAAGGTGGCTGCAGCTAGGTGTGGAGTGTGCAGTCCTCAGGTCTAGAATTTCTCATCATTAAAATGAGCATAATGACTATTCTTCTGTCTACTTCACAGCATTGTTTAAAAAAATGAATCGATAAATTGAAAACAGTTTTGTAAATTAATGTAAGTCATACATGCACACATAAACAGTACTGTGTATACACATCGCACTTAGTGTACACATATAGTCACATATATAAAGTGGTACATGTTGTAAAAGATGTGCTCACCATTTTACATACATTGAAAATAGATTAATTATCACAACCTGGAGTCTAACAATAGTAAATTCTTAGCTATGATACCAAAAACATGAGCAACAAAAGTGGGAAAAAATAGAAGGGACTTCATCCAAGTTGAAAACATTTTTCTGCCTCCAGACATTAAAAGGGAAACTGAAAAAAAAACCTTCAGTTTGGGAGACAGTGTCTGCAAATGACACATCTGAGAAAACCTAGTAGCATAAATATCTAAAGAATTCCCACAACTAAATGGTAAAAAGACAAAACAGCTATTTAAAGGTGAATAAAATAGACGGTTATGCCAGAGCCACCATGCATACGAGAAAATGATGAACATTATTCGTCATTAGAGAAATGTAAATCAAAGCCACATGAGACTCCACTTCACAGCCATTATGAAAATGCTGCTAATTTCATTTTTAAAAAGAAACAGCAGCAGAGAGGTGGAGAAACTGGAATTCTTATCCATTGCTGTTTGGAAGGTAAAATGTTTCCTGCTGTGAAACGTAGTTTAACAGTTCCTCAAACAGCAAAACACAAAATTACCATGTGCTTCCCAATTCTGCTTTTACATCTATACCCCCCAAAATTGAAAACAGACATGTAAACAAGCACATGGACATACATTCCTATTAGCACCATCCATGAGAACTGACAGGTGGAAACATTCCAAATAACATAGGAAGGGGTAAACAAATTGTAGTATAAATCTTCAAGTGGATGATTATTCTGTCCTAACATGAATGGTACTGATGCATGCCACAAGATGGCTAGACCTCAAAACCATACCGTGAATCTGGGCATGATAGCGCTTACCTGTAATTTCAACATGCTGGAGACTCAGGTAGGTGGACTGCAGGTTTGAGCCCAGCCTGGACAACTTGTGAGATCCTGTTTCAAAAAAAAAAGTTTTTGCAGCTCACCGTGAGGGCCCTGGGTTCAATTTGCTGTATTGCAAAAACAAACAACAACAGCAACAACACAAAGCCATGCACTATGAAAGAGGCCAAACAGAAAATATTCCATACCATGTGAATGCAATTTCCTGAAATATCTAGAATAGATAAATTTAGAGAAATAACTGGTGACTGCCAAGGGCTAGTGAAGAGAGGAATGAGGAGCGTGTTTTTCTTTGGAGTGATGAGAGCATTTAGGAATTAGATAGATAACGGGTTTTATTCAACACTGTGAATATAAAAAATTCCTTCAATTGTTTACTTTACAATGTTCAATTCATTATTTAAATTTCATCTGAATAAATTATTTTAAATAGATTAATAACAAATAATACAGTATTTTATTCTGTACAGACGGTCATCAAATAATTATTCTATAAATGTTTTTTAAAATAAAGTTAAGTACATCAACAAATCAATTAATAATAGCATCTTGGAAAAATAGGCTATTGCAAGAAACAGAGAAACCTCCAAATAAATTTTGAAGCAACATAGTAAGATCCTTGCCAATGGTGTTACTGTTTTATATAAAACTATTACTAAATGAAACAAAAAAAATTAAAACTATCCACAAATTTGCCAAGATAGCATGCAATACTATGACATAATGGCAAGGTTTTCCAAAGTATGTTAGTTGTTTATTTTATTTTTGATGACTCTTATCACTCTCTCTGCTGAAGAATGTTTTCTCTTCAAATTCAAACTAGCTAAACACCATTTAAAAGAACATTTAATGACAACATTTATTTCAACTATGAAGTTTAGTCAGCTGAAAAAATAGTTGAAAACATTTATATTTAATCTTGCTATTGCTAAATAGATGCCATCCTAAGTTTATTTATAATTTTGAATTACTTTATATTGATGAGATACTTTCTTTTTATTTTATGTTTAAAGTTTCGAAGTTTACATGAAAACATTACATAGTTTAAAGAAATTCTATTTGATAATCAATACAACTTGGCCTGCATGTTTATCTACCAGTCAGGATACAACCTGTTCAAAAGAACTGCCCCAACTGTCTAAAGCAGAAAAATTTAATATAATAAACTGATTACATGGATGAGGGAAGGACGAGAAGTCAGGAGACCACAAGGTGTCCCAGAGGCTGGCAGTGGCAGGCAGGAGCGAGATGCCTGAGTCAAGCATGGTTGGTGGAAACTGCAGCCAGAGGCCATGGAAGATTCTGAGCTACTACTTGGCTCATAGAAAAAACAAAAGTTCTGTGCTTTCCCTGCCCACCACTTCCGGTCTCTCTCTGGCATATCTCCCTGGGGAAACTGAGCAAGAAAGCAGCTGGATGACATAGGAACCTAGCTAACAGAGACTTCTGGGGCAACATCTCTCAACAGAAAGGCAAGCAAGAAAAAGGTAGAGATGGGTATGAGAGCAGGAGGGACAAGTCTCAACAGCGAAGGAAAAATTAACCATGCAAGGATGAGCACAATAGCATATGAATTAGAGACATATGGCAATTTATATTTGGTCTCTGTCTTCAGTAATTTGACATCTTCTTTGGAAATAGGCCAGGGGATAATTAGCTTATTCGTATATAGCTCATTACTAAATATTTCCACAGATAACAAAAATAACACTTTACAACTTTACAAAGCAATTTCACACGTGCTTTTTTGTTTGTTTGTTTCTTCTTCTTTTCTGAGATGAAAAAGTTAATGCTTGGAGAGATGCCGTGAACTTGAAATTGTTATGATCCTTGATCCCACCACCACCCCGTCAAACCTCCTCATTCACACCGTCACGGAGTCTTATTTTTCTATTTAATTTTCAAATCCATCCACTTTCCATCCAACATCCTTTACTCTGAAGCTACTTTTGGCTACAAATAATTCCCGTCTCCTCCTCCCATTTTTTAACAATCTCGTTTGAAAGCACTCTAATTTTTTCCTATTGCTCTCAAGTTAAAGACCAAAACACTTAACATAACCTAAATCTCCTTGAAAATTCTGGCCTGTGCCCAGCTCTTCATCTCCTTCTCCTGCCATGGTTACATAAAATCCAATCAGACAAGCTTTGTATGTCAGTTTTTCCAAAGTAGAGAGCTCCTCTTACCCCTGGGACTTTGCATGTGTAGGTCTTTATGTCTGGAACAGAGTCCTTATGTCCCTTGGCCTCACCCTATAATCCAAGTTAACTTCTACTCATCCTTCAAGATCTCAGGCCAAATATCTCTTTTACAGGGAATGCTTCCCTGACTCTCCCTCCCTCTTCATAAAGGAAAGTCTCCTTGCTATACAATCTCAATTCACAGCTCTTTTCACAGTTTATAATTATACATTTATTATACTAATTATTGGATTGCTTCTCTCTCTCATATAAGATTTATGAGGCAAATTCTATGTCTTTTTGCTCACTACTATATCTCTATTACTTTTCATGATCTAGGAGAGCTTCAAAATGGAAAAAAAGGACAGGGAAAGGAAGGAAGGAGGAAAGGAAGGGATGTAAGATAGGAAGATAATTGCCCAAGGTTCCCAGATCTTAAGTGACAGGTGAGGTTCAAAACTCAGATTCCTAACTCCACCAAAGTGTTTTATCTTATGTAAAAGAGAGAAAGCATGAGATGCATCCCAAACACTAACTAATCAAACTTGCTGCCCCCTAACCTGCCATTACTATCTCCCTTGCATCAGTCCTTTTGATGGTCCATTCAACAGTCTAGCTTGTTGGTTCTGGCCCACTTCTCTCCAAGTGACCATCTTCACCTCCCTGTAGTTGCCACCAGAGCCTCGGCACCTCCAGCAAATGCACTACCTCCTAAATCTCATGCTCAAGTACCCTGCTTTCTTTTCTGACTACCACCTCCATCCTCTCCTGCTTACTTTTTCCAGCAGTTTCCCTCAACAATTCATCACCTATGCAAAGTGGTCTTTAATCCACTCACCAAACTTGTCAAGCTTTCCATGGTTTACCATTTTACTAATTCCTCAAATGCACCTCCTTTTTTTCCTTCTTCCACAAGACAAAAACCTCAAACTCTGACTGAACCCACCAGTTATCTTCTCCCTGCTCACTCTTAAGAAAAATTAGACAATTAAGAGCGTATCTCATTTCAGTATCGCGATCTCCAAACTCATCCACTCAACACTAATCTCAAAGAAACTTATTAGCTTACTTACCACATCTGCAAGTCATGTATTTCACATTTTTGCCCTTCTTAAACTTTATTTGTTTACATTCTTCACATTTGATGCCCTTGGCCGGTGTCAGTGACAAAATTAAAAAAAAAAAAAAAAAAAAAAGCAAAAGCACGAAATGGTAGCGGCTCCCCATTTTCTCACCAAGTCTGTTAATACTTCTTTCTCTGTTTCTACTGCTGCTCTCCTTCCTCCTTTTGGGGACCAGCTGCTTCCTCTCACCCAAAGTCTCATCCCTTCTTCCTGCTCACCACCTGGGGTTCCTTGATTAACCTGCCTCTCTCCTGCTGCATCAGTCTCCTTCTCTGTGTTGAATCCTTCCCCTGAGTACATTCTCAAGTGCAATCTGGAAAAACCTTTGATTTCACATCTCGTGCTAGTGACTGTCACACTATTTTCCTTCATAGCAAAGGCTCAGAAAGGAAAGTGTAGAATACACATCACTGTCTTTACTCTTCCTGTTTCACTGGTCAGTTAACTCTAACCAGCCCAGTCCCTACAACCTCAATGGGACTTCTATTACATTTGCCAGCATTTCACCTTCTGCAATATTGGCAGGCACTTTGCTGCATTTAATGCTTAGTAGGATTTGAGCTATCTGACCTGTGTTTTTTTATTGACACAATCTTTTTTGTGGCTTCTGTGATACCCTGAAGTTTTGATTTCTCTCTCACCCTCTGGGCCATCCTTTCCATTTCTATTTGCATTTTCATGTTCCTTTGCTCAATCCCTAAATGCCATGGTCCTCTCAGTTCAGTGTTAATTCTTTTGTCACTTTTCTGAGAATGGTTTCTAAGTGACTTCATCCAGTCCTGTGATTTCAACACCATCTGGGGCTGATGCATCTCAAGTTTGTCCAATGAAACCTCTCTTCTGAGCTTCATGTTTGCTTGTACAACTTACCTACACAAGAGCCCTTTATAAGCATAAGAAACATGATAGCTGTTCTTGACTTCTGCTCCATTTTATTGGGTTGTTTCCCTTTGACTGTTCCAGGCTCACCTTGTGTCAAAACCTTTTTCATTTCCTCTTTGCAGCATTCTCTTCCTAGTCTATGTGTATGGCTCATTTCTTATCATTCAAACACAGCTCAAAGGTCATCTATTCAGACATTTTTTCTGATAATCCTATTCTAAGTAGATCTTGAAAATTCTTTTCTTCCCATCATTCCTCTATCAATATTTTGTTATTAGATCAAATGTAAATTTAGCTAATTATCAATGTTACTAAGTTAATGAATAAATCATTGCTGTAGTCAAGGTTTATAAGAAAACAATTTATATAAGACTCATAATTTATAGTATTCTTTTATAATAGTCAACCAAAGAGTTAAATGCAAAAAGTGAGAGAAATCTGTCCATACACCAGGACTCAAGAAATCCAGTTTAGGGCCCGGATCCCACAATATCCTACGTAAGTCCAGGTGAAGATCTAGAGCCCACAACAGTGACTCCTGCAATTCTATTTCATGGATCTGTACTTGAAAGGCCCAAAGGTCAGTGGTGGAAGCCAGAACATCTGTTCCAGCAGGATGAAGGATCTGTGCCAGTAGATTGAGGGTTTTGCAGTGGAACCAAGAAGCAATGCTCAAAGTAAAGACCAGGGCTTCTCTGAAAAGTACCATAGCCATCCTCAGTGACAGTGAGGTTCTGAGCTCCTCCAGTGATAACAGCTGAGGTCATATCAGAAAGTCAGCATGACAAGCTTCTCCTGGAGATTGAACAACAACCATCTTCCCCTCCAGAGCCAAGAAGTGATGCTCAAAGTAAGGACCAGAGCTTCCCCTAAGTGAACCACAGCGATTCTCAGGAACAAGGTCCCGAGCTCCTCTGATGATAATAGTTGAGTTCATATCAGGAACAAGCTCCTACAGGAGAACCAACAACAACACAGAGAACCGATAACACTACTTCCTCTCCTGTTCTCCTTTTTATGTTGGTAACCATCCTCAGGTGGGCCATCTACACTCATCACCATGCTGATTCAGTTCAGCTGGTACTACTAGTTGACCACCAGTTATCAATTCACCACAATCATTTTGCAGAAATTATAAGACTTTGTAATCACACATGCATTTTTTCCATTAGGTATAACATTCCTCTAACTCTCATAGTTGCTCCATCCAACCCTTCCTGCATGAACTGTCATATCAGTAAAAATCACAGCAATAGTAAAGGCAAATGTGGTACTACTTATTTATATTTGTAAAGATTTCAGAATTGCATCATCAGACCCTTACATTCAAGTTGGCAACAAACATATTGTCAGTGTTGTGTGGCTTCTGAAAGCCTGACCATGAAAGAAAGGAAATTTGAAACCATTTGGCTCATAGTGTTATAAGATTTCACCCTCTTAATGCAAAGCCTTTGTCCTGTTTTCTTACTAAAGATCTTCAGGAGTCTTCCTTATATGAGTCCCCCAGTTGGCCTTCTTATTGCATCAGGAATTCTGCAAAAATCACTACTATAACATGGAATTTACACACACACAACAGCTTTGATGGGGAAGACTAAGCACTCACACTCACCATTCCAGCTCTGTGAGAGGAGAAAGTGCCTGCACCAGGTGTTGGCTGCTCTTCTTCAGAATCACCTACTAGTGGGCATGATTAGCCCTCTACCAACCCCTAAGGGGCAGAGAACACTATGAAAGAAGCTCAAAATGTTGCCCATACCTCCTCACATAATGCAGAAGATCCCAGATTTTCAGTCAAGCGGAGAAGAGCTCAACATCAAAGTCTGCCGCTAATCTTCCTGTGTCTCCTAGGATGTTCTCTCCAGCATGGTAACGGCTACTCATGGAGGCTGTTTTAATATAAGTTCATTAAGATTAAATAAAGTTATATATCTAATTTCTGTGTTGCCCCAGCCATATTTCAAGTGACCAATAGTCTAGTAATTACTGTTTTGGACAACACAAATAGAATAGTCCCATTACCTAGAATTCTATGGGGTCAGCAGTGATCCATAAAAAATGGTTTTGTCCCCTCCATTCCCATCCTGTCTTCTCATTTGTTAGATGAGATTTTATATATACATATGTTGATCTCCAGGGGTGTGTGCTCCTTGGAGGAAAGGATTGCATATAATCATATTCATCTTTCTATTGCCTTGTTAGTGCAATGTCTGACCCCACAGAAGGTGCTCAGTATTTGTTCAACTATATTACATTTTCTTTCAAAGCAAACTCTAACATGTTCTCCCAGCACATTCATTTGTTTTGCATGGCTACAATGAAATAGCTAAAGTGGACTAATTTTATAAAGAAGCTTATTTTGTTCAGAGTTCTGGAGACTCAAAGGCACTGGGTTGGCACCAGCTCAGCTGTAGTGAAGGCCCTCTTGATCCACCATATCATGGCAGAAACCAGTTTCTGAAGAAAATATCACACTTCCAGCAGCATGTCAGAGAGTCTGGGGTCCCACAGTCTTTCCAAGGTCACTTTCCTAATCATCCTCAAGATATCTCAGTGTTATGGATTAAAACTGGTGGTCAGCTTAATGCCAGCTGGATTACATCAGCATGGGCGCTGAGTATAGATGTCTCACCTGAGGAAAATTGTCCGCATAAATAGAGATGTGGAGAGGAGAAGCTATTGTGTTGAGGCGTTGAGGCACTGTGGGTTTTCCTATGTGTTGCTGCTTGAGCCATTGGTTATTCTGCAGAAGCTCTGGTCCTCACATCGAGCATTGCTTTTGGCTCCAGAGAGGAAAATGTGTGCCTCTTGGTCTCCAGGATGAACTCATCATGCTGGCTTCCTGGCATGTACTGAACGGTGCTTGTCATCGGAGGAGCTTGAGGTCTCTGTGTTGCTGAGGATGGCTGTCGTGCCTTTCAGGACAGCTGTAGTCTTTGTTGTGAGTGTGACTTCTCAGCTCCAGCATAGAACCCTCATCCCACCAACACAGCTCCTTCGTCCTGCTGGCATAGACTTCCTGGCTTCCATCACTGACCTTTGGGCCTTCCAGGCACAGATCCATAAAAGAGATTGGTGTGAGTCCTTCTTGTGGGCTCTGGACCTCCAGTTGGACTCATGGGAGTCATTATCATGGGCTCTAGGTCTTCATCTGGACTCATGTGGGACATTACTGTGGGATTTAGGCCCTTGACTAAATATTCTGTTTTTGGTGTTGCAGATAGATTTCCTGCAGTTTCTTGTGTTCTCTGGGTGACCGTCATAAAACAATATTATAAACTCCATGTCCTGATTCTAATTGTTCTCTGCACAACCCCTGACTACAACACTCAACAAACCTTACACCCCCAACCAATGCAACCATGCAAGGGGCCAAGCTTCCTTCACATGAGCTCTTGGAAAGCAAATAATTGCTGTACCATAGCAGTCATCATCATCTGAAGCAGGGATGAAGGGAAGGTGACTTTGTACATAACAGATACAATGCCCAGTGTTTATGGAAAGAAGGAAGAGTAGTTGTTAACACTTCTGCACGCGATGCGAAGTTCTCATCTTCACTATTTCATTTACTACTTCTAAAACTCCAACCTGCTGAGGCGGTGCATGCCCACAATTCCAGCACTCTGAGAAACTGAAGCAGGACTGCAAGTTCAAGCCCAGCCTGGGAATGGTGGGACTATAATGGTTGATAGATCATATCAACTTGAGAAGTCTAGAAGCTTAACTAAGGAACTCAGTAGTTCTCGGTGCTGGAGCATAGAGGATATGCCCTTACAATTTTAGGATGTTGTTCATTGCATCAACTTGAGAAGTTTAAAAGTAGAACTAAGTGACTCAGCAGGGGACCAGATTCCTCACTTTGTAAATATCCTGTGCCTGTGCTAGAAGAGGGTATGGAAATTGTGAGTGCCACACCCACCCGAGGGTGGCTAACTTGCATATGATATAAGGGAGGAAAAGAGGCTTATGACTCCCTCTGCTCTTGCTGCTTTCTCTGTCTTCTGCCACCTTGAAGTGTTGCCCCTGTGCCAGGTTACCCTGCCTTGGAGCCAGCTGAAACTTCTACAAAGTATGAGCAAAGTAAACCTTTTCTTCCTTAACTTTGGATATCCAGTATTTTGTCTCAGCAATGAAAGAAAAATAACTAAGACAGGGACCCTGTTTCAAAACCAAATAGAAAATTTTAATGGGGCTGAGATTGTAGCTCAGTGTGAGGGCCTGAGTTCCATCCATAGTAAAAGAAAACAGAACTCAAGAAAACGCTATAACGTGACATTTAAACTCCCATTTTACTCGTGAAGAAATACTCTGAAATTCAGAGTCAAAATTCAAGCCCATGTCTGAATTCAATGCTTATGCTCTCAGCTATCGTAACACTGTGACCTCCTGGTGATAAGAGAACAAGAACTGTATCTTGTCTTCTCCAGTTCTCTCTTGTGATGAGAAAATGAGATAATATATATGAACATTCATTCACTCACCGTAAACTCTAAACATTTATGTAAACAACTGCTACTCTTATGTATTTACCACTATTTAGCAACCCAACTCTAATACTTTACTTAAAACACAGGTAAATCATTTAATCTCTGAATTCTTACTCTCAAAATCAGCATAATAATAGTGGAATAAAAGTACTATGCATGTCTAATAAGATTATTATGAAGATTATATAAATTAATGTATTTAAGAGGTTAGGATAGTTTCTAGCACATCTTTAGCTCCATATAGAAGCTGTCACTCTTGTACATTAAGGAAGCAGGAGTAGAAAAATCTTAGAATTGAAAGCTGTCCTGAATAGATGTGGAGAGTCTAGTGTCCTCCTTTGGTTTGTTTTCTCCTAAGTCAATGTAAGAAAAAGAGTTTTGAATCATTACATCTGTTACTGAGCCAGAGCTCTTAGGTGGGACAACCTATCTGGAACTACTCTAGCGTTTTGGAGACGGTAGGAGTCAGTCACCAGCCTGGAATCTCATTGGTGCCACCAGGCAGATGGAGGTACCTTAAGGCACTGCTGCAGCCTGTCAGGTGGAGGCAGGGTCCAGTGTCATCACAGCCAGGGAACAGAAAGGGAAGCATGGCACTGTGGCCAGCACCCACGGTGCAAGCCACAAGGCATATTTTAGAAGTTTCTGGCCATCTGCCTCAGCAAGAATCAGGTAATCCCCCTCTGTGGTCTTCTGCAAGGCCCAAAGCTCTTTGTCAGTAGTAAGAAAGAATTAGAATCTATTGTTTATGGTGATGTTTATTATTTATTGTCTTCTATTGTCTCAGAATAACTGACTGCACCAGGATTTCTGACAGCTTTGCTGGGAAAGTTTGCAATTCACTTTACCAGGGGAAGGGTGTGGAGGAAGAACTTAATTCCATTTTTACCAAACACTTGTTTGATGACAAAGAATAAACTTCAGGGGGTGCTAAATCCAATTTCTGAAAAGAAAAGACCTCAAAAGTTAGAGATAGACATTTGGAATAATCCACCTCTAGGGGATTACCTTCCTTTCCTCCTTTACTTAAATATGTATAGAAAACATCTCTTAGTAAGATGCTGCCTTAAAGACTTTGCCAGCACTCTGGCTCTGATCAAGTCAGAGGAAATAAGCACCGGGTTTCTTAAAATAGTAAGTCATTGAGAATCAACCTCACAGGTAGAAGAGACTTAAAATGAGAATCAGTCTGCAGGAAGACGCTGGATGAAAGATGTCTGTGCCTGGTGTGATGGGCTCCATCACGGAGAATGATGACTGGCAGTTGATTAAGTGAGGTGACAGGGGTAAGAGCTTCCAGGAAGAGCTACAAGACTGCAGTTAGCATTTGAGAAGGTGACGTCACTTGCTGGGGGTCAGCCTGAGAAGAAGAAAGTAGGGAAGAAACAACCCAAAAGGAGAGGGTAGAAGGGGGAAAAGCAGGTTCCACTAAGTGCTTCTGCACGACAAGGGCTAAACAGTACACACTGTACAGATTGCGTCCTTTCATCTTCGTGAACCTGTAAGGCAGGTATTATTGTCTTCATTTTACAGCCCTTAAAATTGAGGGTCACAAAGTTAAATGGGCTGTATAAAACGTTGTGATTATTAAGAATTAAGACAAAATTTGAGCTCAGGTCTTTTCTTGCCTTAATCTGTTACATCCTTACTGAATCCAGGATACAATCACAGAATCCACTATATATAATATATATAATTTTATAATTATATATAATTATATTGATAGAACTGTGCGGGACTGACGGCGGCTGAAAAGATAAGAAGTATGAAATATAAATGACCTTTATTTTGAGAATGTGGGGAGAGATACACCCGATTCCCTGGGGCGCGGCATCTCCACCCCGGGGTCTGCGTTCTCTCCGTGGAGCGCGTGGAGTGAGGCACATAAGTAGCCTCAGTTTGGGGTGGAACCTCAGGGGGCATTAGGGATACACAGGTAGCCCATTGGTCTTTGTTTGGCGCCATAGGTAAATTCCTAAGGGTGGGGGAGATAAGAGCTCTTTGGCTTTACCGGCTACAGTGTCCTGTCTGGGCCAAAACCCTTTCAATATAATACATATAATTTTACAAATGAAGAAACTGCTTAGCTCATAAACAAATGGAGAGAGCCCAGCACTAGAGACACAGATATCCTAGAATTAAATCCCACTTATATTATATATTAAGTATCTTAGATTATTCTATTCCCTTCTGTGATGGAAAGATGATCACAAGTGCTTCATGAGGTTCCAAAGAGGCAAAAAAGTGTAGCACCTAGCACAGTGCAAATTCTCCATAAAGGGTAGCTGCTGTCTGATCATCACCCCCAAACTCACATTTCTCTATGAATAAAAGGAAAAACGCTAAGTGTTATAGCACTCTCTCTGATATGGATTAGCTATTCAAAAATGATATTCCTCCTTTTGCTAATCAAATGGTTTTTGAAGGTCCGTCTCCAGATTTTAGAAGTCTTTTGAGAGGCCCCTCCCTTGCCTGCAGGCAGGCATGGGCACACTTTCTTCCAGGACAAACTCTCGGAGCTCACGCAAGGCAGCACGATCTCTGCCCTGGCACGCTGGTGGCCACAGCACTTCTGCCTCTCTCTGCACACCTCCCCACGGGTGCAGGGCAGAATAGCACCCCTGTCCTTCCTCTGAGGGTTGTAAGGCAGCTTAAATAATTAACTATTGTATGGAGATTTGGAAAGAGATTACAAAACACCATAAATCCCAAGAATTAATACATAAAACCAGTGGTGGCCTTGGAAATTACATGTGTCATATTTGTTCAGCTGTAAGAATGGAATGAAACGTCACAGTGTGGAGTGTGGTCCAAATCTCCCAAGACCAAGGATTTCCTGCAACTCTAGATCAGCTGTGTTCTCTACAGCTAACACTGTAAAGTACCAGTCTCTTAACACAGTGTTAGGAAGAGTTGTAACTATTTTTTCAGCCTCTCCTCTCTCAGACCCTACCTGCCTAATGATCTCACCATGGAAAGCAAGGGGCACTCAGCCTGGCACTCAAGACTTTCAGGTGGCATCACTCTGTCAAGTCTGACTCTGTCTTCTTATCAGTAAGTTTCCTTCTCCTTGAGAGAAAAGAGAGGTGACTGTTCATGCTGACACTTTAGGTTGTTGTCGCGAGCTGAGGAGATAATGCCTGTACATTAATTCATGGGAGTATCTTATTCAGTGTCAGTGAGATTATGCCATAGGAATTTTAAAAAGGCAAAAATTCCATGGTCTTAATAGTCAAAATAGAGAAATAAACTGAGGATTGCTATAGGGTGAACTAAGACCTTCCCATTCCAAAGGCAATTTAGAGATCACCAAGAGCAACATCCTCAAGCGTGCCAAAAATGCAGAATTTCAGCCCCACTGCACACCTCACTGAATCAGAATCTGTAATTTTTTCACAAGATCCTGGAGTATTTTTATGGGTGTTGAATTTTGAGATCTGCTGGTATCTGACCAGTGCTAAGGAAATTATAGTGTACTTGGGGGGGGGAATTAAACTACCCAAATTATAATGTGGTTGTCATCCAGAGGGATGGTGGTGGGCAGGTGACGTGGACTGTCAGGCACTCAGTCCAAGGGGAGAAATATACCGAAACGCACAGAGGTGTAAGCTGCACTGTGCTCTCAAGTTACCCTAAGGAGCTCACTATGTCAACACTGGGATTAGAATTTCTTAATTAAAAAATGCTCTTGATAGTTGTGCTTATTTCTCCAGTGTGTCTCCTAACAGCAACTAAGATCCATTCCACTCTGGTCATTCGAGTGCACATGATATAAATATCTCCCTGCACCTGAATTTCTCCCTTCACTACAACTATGTCTATCATGTGACCTGTAAATGCACAATTTCCAACAGTAAAGAGCTCAGATTAGATCTATAATTTGTGAACCCTTTCAAATGTGTTTGGTGTTTGAGAGAGAGAAAGAAAGAGGGCAAAGGGAAAGAAAAAAGAAAATGAAAGAGAAGAGACACAATGTCTTTCAGATTACTTTTTCCTACCTCTTGCATCAAAAAATAAAGAAAAGAAACCTCCTGAAGATTTTGGAGCTTGACCATTTATCCTTCATGCTGGAGTTTCTGTTCTTACGGGCATTTCTGTCACTTGGATTTAACCTTTTTTGCTCTCCTGGCCATTTACTGACTTCAATTTTGTTTTTTTCTACACATAGTTTCAGAGGCACCCAGCATTTGTTCAGTGCATTTACTGTTGTAATAATATTTTTTAAAAGACAAAGTGTCCTTCCCAAAAAGTACTCGAATTCTCTTGGAGTTCTTTCAAAATATGCATTCCTCTGCCTCCTGCCCCTTTAGCCTCAGTAAAATCCTTACTCTTCAGTGGATAGTTGTTGCAGCTGTCACTGTTTAGGACTATTCTGTATACACAACAGCTTTACTTACTCTTCTCTAAGTACTTAGAAGGCAACCATATTATGCACTTAAATCCTTGTCTCGAGCTTTGTTTTCTAAGGAACCCAAGCTCTGACACTTATAATTTGCAAAATATCTTTGCACTGATAAACTCATTTTAACTTTTAGCTTATGTGGAGTTGTATATACCATTACATTCAAACATTCTTTTAAGAATGAAGGCATTATTTGAAAAGAAATGCAAGATTGTTATACTACTAGTTACTTTTAATTCATTGAAAGGAAAGTTTTATGCTAATATAGTTTGGAGAATTTTCATGCCTATGTCTCATACTGTGAGTAACTACTTTGCAAATAACAATAAGTGTATTAACTATTGTTATTCTTCTATTATTTTATTATGAAATTTTTATTTTACTTTTTCATTAAAAAAAGCCCAATTCATTTAGCAGGTATTTATGGAGCGGCCACTCTCACCTGCCTATAAGCTAAGACTTCACTCTCAGAGGCTCTTTTTGTGTCTGGGATTTATTCTCCATCTTGTGTGTCCACGAGCTCTCAGATTCTGCTGACCTTTGCAGTCATCTCCTCAGCCCTGCTTCACCCTAGAGAGCCCTCCTTGGTCGGCCTCTGCCTGAGCACTTCCAATGAAGGAAGAATTACTTCCTCACGAGTGTTCTTTAGAGTGTATTTCATCCTACTGAGCAGAGTCCTTCCCTCTGCGCCTGCCGCCGCTCTCCACTCCTTCACAGAGGGCAGCTCCCCTCCCTTTAACTCGGCAGGATTATCCCACACCAGCAATGACGGAAACTCCAGCACCGGCTTCCACAACTTCCTCAGTTCAGAACTCCGTGCAGCGAAGGACTTGTCAGTGAGGAAGCCACATACTCAAATGCCTGCCGTGGAAAGTTCCCTGGTGCTCTTCCTTCGGAGCCTCTGGTTTCTTATTCTCCTGGCTGATGGATTCAACACACTAATTAGCCACTTGTACGCACTCCTTGTATGGTGTGTGTGTGTGTGTGTGTGTGTGTGTGTGTGCATGTGCTTTTGTTTTTCCCTTTGCTTTCATTTTGAAGAGACATTAGACAAAGTTCTAACTCTTTAATATGGCTAATTAAAATATAAACTGTTCCCAAACTAATTGCTAAATTAGTAAAATATTTTGCCAGTTTCCATTACAAATATGTCTTTTAAATAGAAGATTTATTGATCCACTAATTGATCTTTCATTGCATTTGAGGTTCTGGAGATCACAAAACAGATGAAAGCACAGTATCTGGAGAAGCTTAAACAAAAACTCACCTGGAGCTTGGGAGGCGGAGTAAGCATAAAAACGTCTAGGAGAGAATCATACCTCTCCCAGTTATTCATTAGACAGCTCTGGACAGGTTGTCTAACTTCAGCAAATCTCTATGTCATTATTGGTAAAACGAGGATATATGATACAGCATTAGTCTCCACTTATTTTAATGATGATTAATGACTCAGTGAGTTATAGCCATCATTATCGTTATTTTAATTAATAAACATTCTGTTAACAAATGATGATTGTGTTTTCCCTAAGAGGCAATTCGTTATACATGGCTGACACAGATATGAGCTGCCCAGATTCTCTGGAAGAAAAGGTTTCCTGGTCAGCTCTGAAGGGTGTAATATGTACACAGCTTTCAGATGCCAGCAACATCTGGGCTTGATCCCCTCTCTTGGGGAAGTCCATATCACCAGACTGGGCAAGCAGGATGTATAAAGGTCCAGCCATCTGCGCCCAAGTTGAACCAACTGAAAGGGGCAGTATCCACCCGTGCACGGCCCTGCCTCTTCCTGCTTCCTCGCATGCAATATCTCTATGGAACACATTGTATCCCAAGGCCTATCTGCCTCTGCCTCTGCCCCTGCCTCTGCCCCTGCCTCTGCCCCTGCCTCTGCCTCTGCCCCTGCTTCTGCCTCTGCCTCTGCCCCTGCCTCTGCCCCTGCCTCTGCCCCTGCCTCTGCCCCTGCTTCTGCCTCTGCCTCTGCCCCTGCCTCTGCCCCTGCTTCTGCCTCTGCCTCTGCCCCTGCCTCTGCCTCTGCCTCTGCCTCTGCCTCTGCCTCTGCCTCTGGAGAACTCATCATGTGATAGTTTTGGAGCTGGATTGCCTGGGTCTGAATTCTAACCTCTGCTCTCTGGGTTCTCTTGGGAAAGTCAGGTCAGTAAATGTGCCCTTGGTTTCTTCCCCTATAAAATGAAAGTTATTGTTAACCTCTACCTTACAGAAATGTAGTAAGATCAAACAAGTAAGCTATATCAGTTGTTATTTTCAACTTGACCATATGTGGAGTTCTGGGAGCTCAGAGAAAGATGGGGTATGGCCGGGTCCATGAAGATTCTATTTGGTGACTGCATGTGCTGAAGAGAAAAGGCACTGTAGTTAAGAAGTGAATTACTATGTCAGACCCTGGTGTGATGTGCGTGCCTCTAATCCAGCGCTGGGAAGTCTGAGGTGGGAGAGTCACATGTTTGAGCTCTGTCTGGGCAACTTAGCAGCTTAGTGAGACCCTCAATACAAAAATAAAAAGTAGCTCAGCACAAAGGCTATAAACTCAATCGCCAATGTCACAGAGAAGGAAGGAAGGGAGGCCAGAGGGAAGGAAGGGAGTCCAAAGGGAAGAAGAGAGGAAGGACAAAGGAAGAATGAATGGAAGAGAGGAAAGAAAGATGAAAAGAAGGAAGAGAAGGAGGGAGGGAGGCAAGGAGAGGAAAAGACAGAGAGAGAGAAAGGGAGGGGAGGGGAGGGAGGGAAGGGGAGGGAGGGGAGGGAGGGGAAGACAAGAGAAAGGAAGAAAGAGAAATGTGAGGATACAAACTCCTCCTGATTTGGGAGGATGTGGGGAGACCTAGTCTGGGACTGTTTTATCCAGGAGACACCACACTCATGTGCAAACATGGAGCAGAAGTTTGAAATGAAATTCACGAGAACCCACAATACACAACCTCCCTTCTCTCCTATCCTGGGGAGTAGCGTGTGTTACTAACACCTCATACTCCTACCTTCCATCTCCTTCCAGTGAGTTGCCTTCTGAATCCCACAGAGAGCAGTGCTCTGCCAGCCTGAGGTTTCCTCCTCAGTGTCAAGAGAGCTCTACCACTGAGCCTGCCTCACAGCAAGCAAGATACACATGTTAAGTCAGTTGAATTTCTTAGTTTCACTCAGCAAACCCAAAAGTCACCTTCCCTGAACTTATGCCAAGGCTCCTAGACAGCCTGAAGACTGCAGGAATTTCTCCTGTTCACATGTTTTCCTCAATGGGGGTAGCTAAAAATTAATGTGCACAACACTTACCCCTCTAAGATACATTTCTCATAAATTTTATTTATAATGCAAATAAAAAGACAGCACTGTTGTGCTCAAACCCAAGCAAAGACAGAACAGAGTGCTTGCTACATTTTATTACCATCTACTTGACTTACATATTTTAATAAATGGACAACATATACATATTCTCCCAAAATTCACAGAGTATCATGGAAACTATAAATTACATTTGATATTAACCCACTTGGTATCAACACTGTTACATGAAAACAAATGACATATTCAAGTTTAATTTTTAGTTTACCTTGGTTTAAGAACTGAATGGGTAAGAAAAATATCATAAAGGAAAAAATGTGTTTATTTAATCATCACAAGAACTTCCACGAAATAGAGAAATCATTATTCTCATTTTACATAGGAGAAAAAAATGAGGCTCAGCGCACAGAGAGTAGAACAGTCAGGCTCAGCACAATCATGGAGAAAGCAAGCAAAAACCTGCCTTTGAAGACTGCCACATTTAATGTAAAGAGCTCGCATATTGGAACCCAGAAAACCCCAGCTCACGTCGTAGGTCCGTTACAATTATTTGTGTGGCTTGGTTATATTTATGTCTCTTGGCGACCCCATCACCTCGCCATCAAGTGGTAACATCTCTCTTTTGGATTTGCTGTGAAAATCGAATGAGGTAAAGTAGGCAATGTATGTTCCACAACCACTAAGGCTCTGTTTCCTTTTTACCATTGGATACCATGGTCCTCTCGCCCCACCTGCTATTGAGGGGTCACTACCCTCAATCCTCCAAACATTTATGAAGTGAAGGAGTGAGTGAATGAATGAATGAGCAGGCATAAGAACGTAGCCTGTCATCCCACCCTACTGATTGGATCACTAGAAAAAGATCTTAGTGTCAGATACACAGTGCAACAAGCCCAGAGCCATAATTTTGCCTCCCTTCCCCTCTTTCTTCAGGGAGAGTCTGACTCAAACCCCTGAGACTGGGATTTCTGGATTCTTGGCAGTGGAATGGCCTCCCTGCACATCAGCATGGAATTTCCCCAGAACATATCCTGAGCACCCCTCACTCCTCAGGGTTCTCTCTGGTGCTGCCGCAGCACAGCACGTCTGTTCCAGGGGTCCCACTGTCCACGCGCGTGTCATGGGAGCAGCAGGCCACACCCTTTGTTCTCTACACTGACTACAATTTCCTTTCAGTGGTAGATCTAAGCAGTGTATGGTGGGATCGGTGCTCTACAAAACACAATCCCATTGACACGGCCTCAACTTTGATGTGGAGAAGGCTTTTAGTTCACCTGGTCTCTTGCTAAAAACCTTAAGCTCTAGAACCCTGGAAGTTCTAGGTGTTGATCATCACTGAGTCCCATACTCTCATATTACTCATAGGTAGCGTAAGGCTCAGAGATGACATTTTCCTAAAACCAGCCAGTAGGTGGTGGGAAATATAAGTTCTGAACCCACTTCCCTGAGCCCCATGCAACGCTATCTGTCAAATCACAAGCATGGGCCACAGATTGGAGAGAAGTCTCCATCTAGGGAGATTCTTTTCTGTGTGCAGAAAAGCGTGTATTTTGTCTTTTCTGTGTGCAGCATGGGCCACAGATTGGAGCACAAGAATTTGCCTGACACTTTGTAAACCACTTGTTCATTTACAAATATTCACAGAACACTTTTTCTTTGTGGTACTAGGGATTGAACCCAGGGCCTTCACACTGAGTTACACCTCTAGCATTTTATATTATATTTTTGTTTTCAGTTCAGACAGAGTCTCTTGATAACTAGCTCACTCAGTTTCCCAGGCTGAGGTCCAACTTGTGATCCTCTTGCCTCAGCCTCCCAGAGTGCTGGGAATACAGGGATTAAGGGATTACAGACATGCACTACCATGCCCAACTCCAGCACCTTCTTGATGCAAAAAAAAAAAACATTCAAGTGCTGAAGAAGTTAATGCCCTGATCTCTCCTTTCAGGGGTTCACACCATAAAGGACTTAAGACACATAAACTTCAGTGTGAGCTCTCAACCTCCTTCTGCTCTCAGAAAGGCAGGGTCAACAAAGTAAGATGACAAAGAGGTAAAAGGAAGCTTCCAGAAAAGAGGGGCTCCAGAAGGGGAAAGAGGCTTCTGCATGCTTTTAGGGCCTGGGAGGAGGACTGGAGAGCGTGTCCAGCCCACAGATGAGGCTATGCACAGGCACAGAGACGTGGGCTAGGATGGTGCTTCTGCAGTTGCCAAAGCTGGTGGTAACTGGGTAGAGAGGGGAGGTTAATGACTTGTGGCTTACATTCTTACACCTGCTCACTCATTCATTTGCTCATTTATTCACTGCATAAATATTGGTTAGCATGTACTGTGGATTCGGGACATGGGGGATCCAACACCAGGTCCTTTCCACCAACCTTCCCCACGCCTCTGCTCATCGCTTCTTCATGCACACATGCATTAATGTTCTCACTCTTGGATTCATAAGCACAGTAGAAGACAGTAACTGTTGGGAATGCAGGCAAATCTCTACTAGTTAAAACTCTCCATGGCCTGATAAAACTCTCTGCTAGCTTTTAAAATCACCTTCCCCTGGCTCTGGGCTGCTGTCACAGTCATAACTCACTGCAGCTGCCTTCTCTTTCCTGGGACCTCTCCAGGCTCATTAACTGCCTTTCAGTTGGTCACTGTTTTTCCGCTGCATGAGTGTGCAAGGAGCGTTCCTGCTCTATCTAAAGTGCAATCTGTAGTACTCCAGCTCCTTTTCACAATTCCAGAAATGCACTAATAGCTGAGACCCAGTTCCTTAAGAGACGACCTGTCTCTGAAGTTTAAAGACATTCCATCAACCTTGAGATGCCAGATCTTCAGTTTCCTTCTAAGAATTGACTTTGAGGAAACAGAATGTGAAGTGCCAGGAGAGCCCTAAGCTCAGAGAGTGGAAACTGACTTTCCCTCTAGTAGCTTATTTTACCTTTCTGCGGCTCCATTTTCTATGTCCACCACACAGGGCTGTTACTTGTTGAACAAGTAGCTCGGCTCAAGCGCCTGATGGGTAACTGGTACCTGGCGATCACTCCAGCTCTCACTGTAGCTTCAGCCCCTCAGTGTGTCTGCTTCCTGAGCTAAGCTAGGAGGTCTCAAGTCTCCAAGGTAACCAAGGACAACAACATTCTCCTTAGAAGAAAGTTTAATAATTGGTTCAAGGACTATCTCCTAAAAGGGTGACTCATGAATGTATCTATGAAGTAGGTATTACAATTCTTTGTGGGTCAAATTACAAAGGTTGTTTACCTGTGAAAATTCCTCATATAATTCCTAATTTATTAATGAAATTAGAATGGCTGTTTTGTAGCTAGTTATCTACTTGAAAATTCCACTTCTTACAAATGACAGTGGGTCTCTGGGCAGGTAACTTAAGCTCCTGACTCTCAATTTTCTCAACATCATTATATGTGTTATAGAAATATCATAAAGAATAAGAAAAACATAAAAAGCATAATTCTTCTCACTGTGATTCCTTTAGCGATTAAAAAATGTAATAAAAAACCACCCCTATCATCAGTTCAGTAGTGTTCAAGAAAAGCAACACAAAGAAAAAAATAAAGGAGAAAACAAACACAAACAGTTCGCTGTGAAATAAAGAAACATTCATTATGAATTTTATTGCTCCAACTACTGTAAACCGTGTAGGAATCGGAGCTGCAAAGCTACCCATTAAACTGTCTGCTCCTTCCTGTTTAAACAAGGCCCCTCTTGGGTCGTGGCAGCCTGGGCCTTGGTGAGTCTGCATCCAGGAAGGAAGACGTTTCTACGGTAACCACGGAGGCCTGCTCTGGAGGTTCTCCGGAGAGGCCAGGATCTGGTGCAAGTGACAAACCCCAGCTCCCTTGATTGCATACAGCAAGGTAGCAGCCATGGTGTCCAGCGGGAGCAGAATGAGAGCATTCAGGCGTGAAATCCCTTTCAATCAGTCGCTTGTTCCCCTAGATGGAGACTTCTCTTTGTGCCACTCTTGAAAAATGGCCAACCTAGGCTCAGTGGTGTATAAATAATAAATATTCCACAAGGAAAGAGGTTTTTTGTGATTCGGGGAGGGGGGTGATTGGCCTGCTGTCAACATTTGGTTCCAGTTTTGAGAAGGCTCAAAGTTGCAGGAAATCACAGAGAAGAGTCCAATAACAGCGTTATAAACTGTATTTTATAAACTGCGTGTCTATGCCCAGATCAGGAGCAGGGGGTTGGGGACAGAAGACGGGCCAAAGTCACAGAGCGAGGTGGTTATATCAAAACACAGCCTAAGCTTCCATGACATAAAGCCTGAATTGTAGGAGTTTCACTGTGGCTGTGGCGTATGGTAATTGCTCTCATGGACAGCTGGACAAGAAGTGGTGGCAATATTAAAGAAGAATAGCAGAGGCCACCAGTGAGAGAGAAGGGATAGAGCTCGAGCCGAGGACCAAGAATGTGTAAAAGCTGCTCCCATTTATTGAACAGAACAGTGTCCCTGAATACTTATATGTATTATCTCATTAAATCTTCACAGCCACTCTCTTAGATGAGTACCAATCTAGCCACCTCTTCCTGATGGAGAAATGTTCTGAGGGTTTACTTTTTTCCCTGCTCGTAGGTGACAAGGCCACAGTCAAACCCAGAGCAGTTGGACTTAGTATATTCTTTCTATTGACTACTAATGCCCTCCTATAAATAAACACAGGCTTCTGCTATGGGGGAGTTGGGAGTGCTCTGGGCTGAAAAACTAATGCAAAGACAGGCAGGGGAGTGCGGCGTGCGCTGCATCCAGCTTACACCTGGCTGCTCTTAGTGAACCTACCAATGGCCAAGCCTTGTGGTGGGTCAGGAAGCCTTGGCATTGCTCC